CCTATTTCAGAAAGCTTGGATTCAAAGCAAGGCCAAACAAAAAACTTTCTTCAGAGTGGACTTCATTTTGATCAGTATTACATGAATAATTTTCTTTTGAAACAAGTAGCATCCAAGAGGAATCACATTTAAACAGTAGTAGCTAATTCTGTTTTTGAAATATTGCAAAGAATCTTTCATTCACCTGAAAAAAATGAATTATTTCATCACTAAGTAAAGGCCTCCCTTCTCACATTGATGTGTTACTATAACTCCTGCCATCAAGCTCAAGTTGCATTTTAAGCAATGCAAAAAGCATGCTTGGAGGATTTGTTTTGCTCCATTTCATAGAAAGAATATGTGTATTATTTAGAAAACCCAGTACAATGCCACAGAATTGTCAATTTATGTTCAATGTTATATTTGAAAAGTAGTCTTATTTTGAGAGGTCAGGAGGACTATAACCTTCCACACAACCATCTTGCTACTCTGCGATTTCTTTCTTTCATAGCAAATGAGTCACTCTCTACACAGTGAGAAGTTCTTACATACCCCTACAGAGCTTCTCTTACATACTCCTACTGAGTTTCTCTTCATGGAGCCCAACTATATCTTCATAGCATGGAGTCAAGGAGCTTTCTCATTCATTCACATGTCCAACTGACTGCAATTTCTATCCTTTCTAACTATAACAGGCCCCATCCCACCAGCTCTGCCACAGACTCTCTGTCTGGCAAGGGATCGATCAGAAGAAAGCTTTAAAAAGCGATTTATGTAATCCATGACTGTACTTCAGACAACTAAATTTCAGTCCTGAAACTCCTAGCTCAGACGTCGTTGTACCCCAGAGACATTCAGGGTTCAATTTTCAACCAGTTGCTCTTTGGGCCCAGAAGGCCCTTTTGGAAACAACTCAGTAGTTTGACATCTATTTAACCAATAAAACCTGAAAACTAAACTTTTTTTTTTATCTGTCCTTAGGAACTTTATCCAGTATACTTGTTCTAGACAAAAAACTATTGCATAGTTTTCTTATAGGATCTTCTACAAAGTTTAAACAGTGGCATTATTTCTATCTGAAGGTGTAGTATCCACCAACATACCCAATGGGGTGCACATGTGCTTTCTCAGGGAGTCATGCTTTCAAATAAAAATGTGATCCCCTACTCTCTGTAAAACAAAAAAATTAAAGCTGCCTAACCCTCAGGAGATATTTATAAATTATGAATCCTGAACAGAAGGGTTGTGTCTCAAATTAGAACCAAACTTGATCCTAAGCAGGGCTCATTTACACAGGTCAAAATTCATAGATCGATTTTTATATCATCCATTCAGGCACCTCAAGTCCTAACCCTCAACCAAGGAATGAAAAGGAATTGAGGAAAAACTCTTTCATAAATAAATTTGCTGGGTTGTTGCTGATATTCACACAAACACACACTTCAGCAGTTCAGCACACTATTTTCCACGGATTTTATTCAATGATCTCAAAGGTTCTTATTGGTAAGCCTTGGTACATTCTGCTAGAAAGTACATGAAGACCCTAACTTCCCTACAGAGCTAACTATTCTCGGCCATTTGTTAGTGGTGAAAGCCAGGTTAACATGACATCATGTTCATTACCTTCATCCTTAGGCTTTTTTTGGACCTAGGCATTAGACTCAGTCATTAAAGAGATAATACAAGTATAATTTGAGTTTAAAAGATACTCACACACTCGACTATTTGCAATTCTTTGAAGTTCAAGCTCACCTGCCTACATCTTGTATAAAATAGACAGTATCTCTCTTGACTACTAGACAACCAGAAAGACAAACACAACAGTGTTACTGCAGCATTCTGAATCCAGACCAACAGCCACATCACACAAGCTGTACTGATAAAGCAAACCACACGAAATAACTAATTTGTAAAAGCTTCTAAGTCATTTCTAGAGGGCCTTTTAAGTATAAACTCCTGCGTTAAGTAGAATCTGAACTTCAGCTCCCCATCTATTAAATCAGAATGATAGCACTTTGCTGTCTCATGGGGAAGATATGAAGATAAACACCTCAATACCCCAATCTTCAGAGTGAAGGGAGACAGATGAGTTCCTTAGCTAAAACAAGAACACTAACAGTTCTTTTGCCTGGTGGTGTTTTGTAGATATAAGGAATGTTGTTGTATCTAAGAATTTCAAGGGATACAAATAAATATTAAAAATCAAGTCTGCATCTTTTGGGACATGCTATTACAGATGTCTAAAACACTTCACAGTTTGAAGAGCTGGGAAGTTGCATGTGGATGGTGCTGGCAGAAGCAACCCTTTTCTTTACCTGACTTCCTCTCATCTAATGTGTACTCAGAGCACATCTTCCTGTGCAGCTGGAGGCTTTGTTACAGACAGAAGGACGCTGCTTAGTGTAGCCAGTGTTTATTGCCTAACTTTTTTTTTTTCTTTTTTAAAGATGAATTTGGAAAATTTCCCAGATAATACATCTGCCCCTAGTACTTGCACCTCAGAGTGAAGACCAGCCAGGGAGGTAGTGAGGACAACTGCATTTATTAGCAGTGAATACACTGATCTATCTTTTTCTGGATTAGCAGTGGGAGATCCCAGACGCACTAAGAAGTATCTGTTTGCTGACTGACATATACAAGCTGGCACACTTTTGTGTCAAAAATGTACACAGCTGCACACACACACTAAAGCTTCCATCTATAAAGCACAATTGCCAACTACTTGTCTTCAGATATGGGTAATAAGAGAGGGTCTGAACAAGAAAACAAGTGCAGAGTACAATTAAAGAATATCTTTTATTCCTTTAAAAATATTTATTCCCTTGTCTTTCTAAACTCTCCTGGATTTGCTATAATATTCCCTCCATCATGTTTTAGAAGGACTGTCAATCTATTTAGAAAAACCCAGATCTGTATTTATCAAAAACGTTACTGAGTTGCCAAGTATCTGAATTAACACATTTTTAGGTACCAAAACATGCTGATTTAACCTGATTGTCAATCATTACCAGCAGATGTCTGGACAAATTGCCTAGTGTGTTTTGGTTCTAGGTCGTCTCCAAATGCACAGTCTAATAGCTGGTCAAAAACACAACTCAAAGTAATAATAAATTATATTTATCCACACTGCATTATCAGAAATCAGGTGCCGGTACAAAGGGAGCTTTATTTTAACATCATCTCCCAATCAGTCTGTCCAAACTTTCTCTATTCAAGGCCTCAGTCTCATTTTATGGAGCAAAACTGAACCCCAGACTGAATGAGCACTTGGGTAGATTAGTGTCATGCTTGCTTGGTTACAAATAGACAGATATGTTAATAAACCCAGTAGTGCAACACCCTCTTCCCCAACACTCTCAGAGACTTCTGATGAGAAGTAGGAAATTCAGAGATACCCACAATTCTTCACCTGCCTGATTAAACTATGTAACTATACCACAGTGATGGAGCTGATTGAAGCTCCAGTGAGAAAAACTGCAGCTCACAATCCCTTTGGTGTTTAGATCAGCACAACTGACAACAGAAGAAACACATCAAATATTTTTTTTACTAAATATACAGTAAAGGGTGCAAACTCTGATGTCAGTAAAACCATTGGGCAATTTGGATGAGGACAGGAGCCCAACAGCTGTTCCTACAGATTCCCGCACAGAAACAGGTTTTGCCAGTCAACATGGTGTCAATATTTAACTAACACATTATCACTTGTTATTATTTGAGTATCAGTCAAGTAAGCACCTAGCAAGAAAGAAAATGGAAGTGATCTTCAACTTCTTTAAAAAAAATCAGATTCACTGAGCAATCATGGATCAAGAAGGTGATTTTTGTTTTAAACAAAAACTGAATTTCCACACACATACTTGCAAGTACCAGGATAGCTGTGCTCACATATTCTTGCCAGAATTACCTGTGGTGACCCTGAAGACAAGGGATGTCAGCTCAGTGCTCTTCAAATCTTAAGCATTCTTTTGTATGTCAACAATGCTGAGTGGTTTTTGCAGTCCTTATCTGTCTTAACAAGCAAAGCTTAGAACCAGGTTAAGTTGTATCACGCTGTGGTGCGGCCTTCGCACCATCAGCATGCCATCTAATGCTTGCTCTCACTATTTCCCAGATCCCTTTTGGATTTCCCCTTGATGCTGTCAGTCTCACAACTTCATATATATATATATATATATATACACACACACATACACACACACAGAGACACACCCCTTTCATATATACCTTTTTTTAAAACTTTCAGTTCTGCCATTTCTTCTTTTAAACATTCATACTTGATGCACATCAATGCAATATTTCACTTACAGACCTCTACATCATCTCAAACATCCAACCAGGTTCATTTTCCCAAAAACCATACTGTCTATATCTTTGCTTTATCCCAGAAGTGAAAACATCAGCCAATGATGAGAATCACAGAATACAGGATAATTGGTCTGCTTCAATCTGAAAAAATCCCAGTTCCAAAATAAATAACTAATCAAAAAGGAGAGGAGATAATAGCCAAAGGCCCTGAAACAGCAGACTTCTGTCAGATAGGCAGGCTTTTTTCTTTCCTTGACAAAACAAACAGGACCACAACACAAATGTTCTGAACATGGAAGAGAACACTTTTTGAGTGCTTATGCAACCTCAGGAATCCTCAAAAAGATAGCAAAGAAAACATGCCTTAGTATTCACAGCAAATTAATTTAAAAGGTTTTTTTTCCCCAGAAGAATAAATAAAATCTCTCACATTTAGCACTAGGATATCAGCCAAATATGGAGCAACATTCACCATCATGTACATCTCTATGTCCAAAAGCAAGAGAATACAAATCCCACATGTCCAATAACATTTTCCACAGGGTTTTTTTTGTGAAAATCAAAACAGCCCATACATCACTAACAATCGTACTATGCTCATAAATTAAAAACGACAGATTTTACCAAGAAAATTATACAGAAGATGATCATAAATAGTAAAACAAATGTAGAGTACAATTGGTACATTTTCTAAGTCATTTAAACTCATTTACCTGTAAAGTAAGTATTGGCAGGGAGAGTGGAACTAGTGAATCTGTAATATCCATTTCCTGGGAAACGGATCCCTTTCATTACTTCCGTATTAAATGTAGCTAAAGATGAATCCATCCTTTCCACCTGGTAGATGGGAGAAGGCCCATTAAGTTCTTCAGGTTCGTTCCAATTTATCTTTACCATTGTGCTGTTTATTCCTTCAACACGAGGGGCTCTAAGTTTTCTTGGAGCTGTGCATAAAAAAAATAAATATCTAGGTATCATTTTCTATAATACTCAGGAAAATATTTATTGCAGATAACATTTTTTGCAAAACATCCTGCTTCAGTTTCTGATCATCTTAATGAACACAGATATGCATAGAAGCCTAATTAGAAGAAAAAAAACCCAAAACATTCTTATAAGAACTTACTTTCAATTCCACAAGAACTACCTTATGTGTTTATTCCGGCTTTGGATTAATGTCTCTATATTATATCAAAAATACTGTTTTTTTTCATAATCTTTACGAATCTGAATCAACATCTTCATAAAAAGTATATTTGTATTCCTTCCTTGATTAGCCTCTCATGCCATGCTCACTGTGAGCATGTATCTGTATGACTTTTAGCATTGGATTTCAGTGAAATACCAGAGGAGAATCCGAACAGTTAATTAACTCTTGTTACATCTCAGCAGTATGGTACATGACAACACTAATCTTTCATCACTGAATTTATCCCTGTCAACAGGAGCGGAACACCTATCTGTCCACCCTACTGAATACCGATCAGGTTGTTTTCCTCATGGTGTGCACACAAGACATTCAGCATATGTTCAGACAATTATTCAGCGCAAGAAAATGGCCCTCTCTAACTTCTCCACCACACTGGTGGCCCAGTAAGACTCCATACAAGGTTGTTTCCAAAAAAGGCATCAGCATAAGATAATTTTATGTTATTACAGTGATCCTCCTACCATTAAAAACAATATTCTGATATTCTTTTAAACATTCTGATAGCATTGCTCACTCTATAGCTGTTATGAACATCCAAAAAAATTTTTTTTAAATCCTGTACAATAAGCCACTGGAGGGCAGCATGACCTGTTTGGATAATGGCATGATGGCCATACAGGTGGGAAAGAAATGGACCATCATTGAAACAACAGAAGACATCATCTGAAGAGTACAAGAACATTCTACTACCTACAGAATTTATATCCTTCATATCTTGCCTTTTTTTTTCCCCTTCTTTCCCTGATAAAGAAAAGGATTTAACAGAAACTTCATTTGTACCCAGGAAGTGAAATACAATGACAACTTGTAGAAACTACTTGTTCCCATAATGACATAGTAAAGAGCAAAAAACGCCTTTCAAGAACAATAAAACCTGAATTAAAATATGGGCCTTCAAAATCTGACATATTACTTCATAGCACAGCTTTGTACATAGCGTGAGTTCTTTAGAAAAAGAGAGATCTCTTCATTTAGAATGAATTAATAACATCCTTTTAAACATTTGTGCATTTCCAAGATCATTAACATATTTTTCATTTTTCCTATTTGCCTGTAGCATGTTGCTTGCTTGCTTCTTTCTTTCTTTCTTTCTTTTGCTTCCCCTCTAACTTGATAAATATTCTTCTTGAAGAAGGTATGGAGTGGGGGAACTGGGAGACTGCCAATGGCACTATGTGCTGTAAATTCCTGCTTAGGCATCATTTATGACTTCACAATCTAATTAGTATCTCACACTATGGTAGAAATTTACAATGTCAAAATTGAAGTAATGCAGCGTGAGGTCATAAGCTTTTCTGCATAAGTAGGGCACAGCACTAATGAATTGTGGTATTAATGCACAAGTTTAAATAGAAAACATGACTTAACAATCAAAACTTCACCTCTGAGGAACTAGTGTACGTCAGCATTTTAAGTGCGAACATAAGAGGTTGAGCTTTTCAGTTCAGCTTACTGACGGTAAAACAGAAATACTAAAATTATTTGTAAAATGCATACAGCTAACTAACACTCATGACAATAACTATATCTTCCTTTAAAGTCTAGTATTAAAAAACAGCAGTTACTTGGACCATAATTATGGCATCTCTGATACCCAAACCTGAAGCTTTTATGGGGCTTATGCAATTAACTACTTAAATGCATCGTAACACTTGCTTCTCTGACAGGGAAGTATTGATTTTTTAATCATTTTCAAGTCTCCTCTAGCACAAATAAATGTACTACAGTTACAGTTAATGCACTGTGTACATGCATTAAACACTGGCATGACACAATTTATTATTTTGTGATATATGAAACAGAAGCTTACCCTTTCAGAAAGTAACATCCTTTCTATAACATTAGTATTTAAACTACAGTCTCATTGATGCTTGAGAATTCTTATGCATCAGGACAGTGGAAGACTGTACATAATAGGTTACATAAGTTAAAAAAGAAATCAAAACAGAAAAACAAACTCTGCACAGGAATAGACAGGACTGAAAATAAATCTGTAGCACTAGCCCAGCAGGGTACTAAATGCTGAAATTAAAAATTTTCAAGACTAAAAAGATACAGTATATATTTTCCTAAAGGTGTCACTGTGGTACCTGTAGCTACTTTCTGAAAGATGAATCGACTATAATTTTACCTATTTAATTTTTTTTAGTCACGTTCTGTTAAGACACATCTGTCAAAATAATGAGCATACTACATTTTAGTGGATTCAAAGTCACATTTTGTGTATTTTAATTATGTAGTTTTAATGTCTTGCTATATAATACATATTTAATATATTATAAAGCTAAAACAGTATTTAAAAGCCCATGATTGCTGCATGCCATTGTGTAGCAGAGGGCACAAAAAAGACCAATAAAGACAGATGGTCTATACAGCTTATGTTGAAGTCATATATCTAAATATAGATGTTGCTACACAGGTCATTACAAATACGCCCTTCCCATGTGTTTATGCACACACATGTACACAAAAATGAAGTTGGTAAGTAAAGAGCAGTTAATTTTGTTTTGTTTGAAATAATATCATTTTAGTTTTAGACCTGAAGACAGATGCCAGCATTTCACTCTGAACAGATGGTAATTCCATCTAATAGTGCATCTCTGTATTAGTAAGGTCTGTTGTGTATACAAACAGTAATAAACACTAGGTAAGGATCAAAATAAATTTTAATTGTTGACATTAAATTCTGGCAGCCACTGTTCTAAGGATACAATACTCCTTTCTCAAGTCTGTCAGGTTTACTAATACAACTGTTAAAGCTTTTCCATACTCTGCCAGATTCTTGTCCCAGGAATAACATATTTACACTGCGGCTAAATTTAACAGGCTTACATATGTTTGAACAGCTACTGCTCAGCATACTGTAGGTAGGTATTTGTGTACCCTTCCACAGAAGCTTTCGTCTCTCACAATTAGCCACTCTCAACAGTTTGGGAAGGCACTAGTAACAAAAAGGATACAGCTTTTAATTATCCTTCAGTTGAATTCAAAATGCATACATACAAATTAGAACAGAAATATTCAGCAAATTTGAGGACAAAAACTTAAAGAATTTTTTTTTTTTTCATCTTGGGAGTTTACCTTGCCAGTAAAATTACATGCCTCACTACTGGTTATCCATTTCATTTCTGCTACAAGTTATTATTCCAGAGGACCCCAAGATTGCCATAGTATTTCTGGTATGATCTCTTCTTTCTCTGTGCTTCAGTATCAGTCATTTCAATGGTAAATGAGTCAAGAAATAATATTTAAGTCAATAAGTCAAGACAATATTTTGATTTTTTAGAAGATTCTTTAGGGTCCATTTTGGACTCTTACCCAGAACAGAATAAAACCCACCCACAACAGACATCAAAAGAAAATTTAATAACACATATATGTTACAATCATATTTCTTTAAAAATAGGTGTAATACACAGTATTTTTTAAAAATCGTGAAAAATATATTGCATCCACCATATGGGACAACCAACGACTCACCAACCGATTTAAGATGCAGCATATTGAGCTGACCATATGTTACAGTGCTGTTGAATGGCTGAGTGATTCATGCCCGTCACATTCTAGTATATCAATTAAAGCTCCTTGAAGTCTGCATGATTTGTGTCTCTGTTATTAAACCCTGCTAATTCATCCCACTTACACATCTGTTATAAATCTCTAGGAGTGCTGCATGATTCATGGCAATCTGTGAGCATGGTACAGCAAATTCTTCTCCTTGTAATTAACAGTAAATTGTTTTACTGCCATGCAATGAATTTTTCAGTTATATTGCAAATGAACTCCTAAATGCACGGTTCTTTCCTAAGAACTGACTTATATTATTAGGCAATTAAAAAGTATTGCTTTGAACCAAAAGCTTTTAATCAAGAGGAATGCAACTTAAACATGGCTTAAAAACCTTGCAAATTTGACACTGAGGAAAAAGAACAAACTGAGCTATTTTCTGAAGTATACTATATGGTTGGCAGGGGAGAAGAAACAAATAACTTGACTCCCTGCTAATTTTCTGAAACTCAAATAGCAGTTTAACTACAGCTTGAACACTTGGCAAGACAAGTTTGAGCAGATACTATTTATCTCAGAAGTTACTTAAGTCATCTGTCATTATGAAATTTCTCAGATTACTTTACACTTTTCTAATTGTAAAACACTGTCTTTATTCTTGAAATAAATAATTGGATAATTAGCCAAGCTGAATCATCAGAGGATTCCAATGCTGCTCAAGTGTTCTTGTCAAAGGTGAAGCAAATTCATTTCAGCTTTGCCTCTGCAGCTTTATGAAGAGGCTTTGATTTTTTTCCTGCTACATTCTTGGCAGCAGCCTCAAATTCATGAGTCCATACATCAAGTCAGTAGTTTAACAACAAATGAAATTAAATTCAAAGAAGGGAAACTAATTGAAGGACAGCAACAAAAGTGTTTGGTAATGTGCTTTTTAATATGGCATGCCACATTTGCATGATAATTTTTCCTTTTTAGCATGGAGCAGAAAGTGACTAGCTTAATGAGGGATTATTCAAGACAGGAATGAACAAAATGCATTCATAACTAAGAACAAAGATTGTATTATGAAACGGAAACAGGCAACTGCCGAGAAGTAACTGGATGATTGGTTTATGCATTATGAATAAAAAGGTAGAAAAATATTTATATTAGTATTCACTAATGACTATATATACAAGATTGTTGTAATTAAAATTATAAATTAACATATTAAAAGTGCTTGTTTAA